TTTGAGTAAGGAATTGCAACCCAACAGCACTTGTGGCTCTAAGGATGGGAAAAGGTTTGAGGACATTTTAAAGACAGGCATCATATCCACAAGACTTGTATCCTGGCTAAACGAAACAAACTGCAGTCTTCCAGTTGTTACTGTTTCACAACTCCCATCAGCTCTTGTCATGATGTCTAGTGATGAGGACACGTGAGTTGTAGTCCAACATGAAGAAGATCTTCCTAACTGTGAGAGCTGTTCAGCAGTGGAACTCTCTGCCCTGGAGTGTGGTGGAGTCGCCTTCTTTGGAGGCTTTTCAACAGAATCTGGATCGCCATCTGTCGGGGTACTTTTAATGCGATTTTCCTGCTTCTGGATGGCCCAAGATGTGTCTTCCAACTCTATGATTCTATCTGGAGGAGGGCCACATAAAATGACATGGCAGGTCAGATCTGGCTTGAAAACCTTGAGTGTGACATATGTCTTTCGAACCTCTTCAGAATGCCAATAAAACAACAACCCAAACTTCATCACCTAAGCCACTTCCTATTTGTTGTTTATCACCGTTCAAGGAATACCCTGTTCCAGGGTAATGCCAAAGTATTCAGCCCTTCTTAGCAAACAACTGATAGGTGGCATCTGGCATTCCATGGCAGTCTCCCATCCAAGTACTGAGCAGGGTTGACCTTGCTTAACTTCCAAGATATAGTGCCTTTAGGTTTTTCCGTGGTTCACATTCCCTGCTTAGCCGTACTCTCTTTGTGTAAGAGGAAGGCAATGCCTAACCTTCCCTAAATAAATCTTGCCAAGAAGTAAATTGGCTTGGAGTCTGTAAGGACTTGAATGCAGGAGAAAACAACAGGAACCCTGGAGCAAGCCAACGAGGGGCTTCTCCAGAGAAGTAGGCTTCATCTTTCCTGAGAAGTTTTTAGGAAAACTTCCTTCTCAGGGAATAAGGTCGGAGCATCTTCAGTCCACCAGATCATTTCGAAGTCTTTCTCTTTGCATGAATTGGGACTTGGCTTCTTAGTGGGGAAGCTGGAAACAGGGTTTCCTCCCTTCAAGGTGTGAAGTAGCTGCTGGTAGAAATTAAATACCCAACTGTATGGGACCAAGATTCATGAACACTCGTGCAATTTATCTGTTAGTTTCAACAGAGAAATCTGCACATTCCTGCTTAGGTCCTTGAAATAATATTGCTCATACAAGTACTGTAATTTCTAATACTGTCCATCGAACTATCTATCTATAAAATCGTTTTTATGTATATGCTTTAAACACATGGTTTTTTTAAAAAAAAAATCCACAAATGCTTAATTGAAAATTAAACCGCATCCTGTCTAGTAGAAGTTGGTATAAGGATTGGGCTCCATAAATTCAGAAAAAATAACACACACGCATATATATATATATATAGAGAGAGAGAGAGAGAGAGAGAGATTATTGTGCATTTGACTATGATACTTTTTAATACTGTGATCAATCTATCTATTGGAAATGTTGACAGGTTTTACAGAAAGTGATTAAAATTCGGGGTAAATGAGAACGGGTATAGAAAATATTGCCATTTTACTGTTTATCACTTGCATGCACTGCCGAGCTGAAGAAATACATTTCAAATAATACTATTTTATTGTTTCTTGAGCCTTTCCGGGAGCAAACGCCATTTGGTTTGATTTCTTCCCACCTAAGTGTTTATATTATTATTGTTGTTGTTGTTGTTATTATTATTATTAATAATAATAATAATATATTTATTGTTATTATTATTATAAATATTATTATTTTATTTATTGTTATTATTATTATTACTACTATATTCTGCTCAGTGTAGAGGATTACATCCCGAGCTTTGAAAATCTCACTTATTTTGTGAGATCAAAATCCAGCAGCAATTCAGACCTCAGTAACTGGAATTGACTTGAAACAGTTGCACTACAAACTGAGCCATGATAATGTGTTGTCCAAGGCTTTCATGGCCGGAGTCACTGGGTTGCTGTGAGTTTTTCGGGCTGCATGGCCATGTTCCAGAAGCATTCTCTCCTGAAGAATTCCAACAAAGTATTGTCGAAGGCTTTCATGGCCGGAATCACTGGGTTGCTGTAGGTTTTTCGGGCTGTATGGCCATGTTCTAGAAGAGAAGTCCTTATTTTTCTTCAAATAGTTACGTTAAAAACACAGAAGGTTGTTTCTTTTTCCCATGAACCCACATAACAAGCACCTCTGTGAACTGAGAGTACAACAGCATTGTTATCCAAATCCTTCCCAAAGTTTTGTGGGATCTTTGCAGGACTTTGCAGGACTTGATGTAGATAGATGCACAAATGCAAGCGGAACGTCAGGAGAGAATGCTTCAAGAATATCGCCCTACAGCCCGAAAAACCTACAAGAACCCAATTCCAACAAACCCCTGAGGACGCCTGCTATAGATGTGGGTGAAACGTTAGGAGCGAATGCTTCTGGAACATGGCCATACAGCCCGAAAAACTCACAACAGCCCACTGAGACATGATAATATTTATATTTATACAAAGCCGCCTCGAGTTCCTATATTGGTAGAAATTCGGGATAAAAATGAGTAAATAAATAAAACAATACAATTGTTGAACTTGGTGTTTTGCTTCTGAAAATCCTACGCGGGGCGAAATAAACAAGAGCTCGACGCAACCACAAGCCCCTTACCTGGATTAAGGCCCATTATACACAACGGGGGTTAGTTACTTCCAAGGAGGCATGTAAAGGATTGCCCTGCCTGTCCATCCGGGTCCCAAGGCTAAACCCACCCCAACAGGGAAGGCTCACTCAAAGCAGCTCCGGTTCAAAACAGTAGCCTTCCCGCCACCCTGCTGGGCCGAGAGGCGAGAAATGAATGCCTCGCATAAATAAATAGGGTTGTGTTTGGGGGTTTTTTGAGACGCAGCAAGCCGCTGAGGCCCTTATGGAGATTTATTTGTATTGTTATTTTCATTTTCCTGGAAGGGCGACAGGAGGGAGGGGGTGAATCTGAGAGCCTGGATAGAGGCAGGAATGAATGGGCGCTGGCCTCCAGCCATGGCAAGACCAGGCAGGGACACCCTTATTCGCCGGGAGAGCCCTTGTTTGCAATCCCAGGCCCGCAAGAGAGATCCAGCCTTGCCTGGAGAAAGCTTTCTTTCCTCCCCAGGCTTTGGAGCCAGGCTTTCCAAGCCAAGGCCTGGAGGGTTGGGGCGCAGAAGGGAGACCCTCTGGTCCGGCTCAGGCCTGCTTCCCAGTTCCTTCCTTTCCCCACTTTTCCCTCCGCCTTCTTTTGAAACATTTCTCTAGTTTTCTGCAAAATGCCAGACTGAGGGGTACCTGGATGACATGTTTGGATGCGCCTCGCCTGGGGAAAGCAACCGGGAGGAAGGGCAGAGGGTTTGTTTTTCCCCCTTTCCCCCTCGCTTTAGAAATGTGGGGTTGAAGCAAGACTGTGCTCTACAGACTCTTGTTTATTTTGTGATCGCTTTGCCTAAGAAGTCTCTCAAAAGAGCAGGGCTCTTGATGTTGATGGCAAACCTCTCCCGTAGATTCATTCATAGCTCTGCGTTCCCAAACACGCGAGCGCAGAGACCGACAAAACTAACGCACCGCTTTGAGGAATAGTTTCCATGACTACCTCTGAGGATGCTTGCCATAGATGCAGGCGAAACGTCAGGAGAGAATGCCTCTAGAACATGGCCATATAGCCCGACAAAACCCACAACAACCCAGTTTCCATCAACTCTACCAACTTTTGCAGGAAGCGGGGTGTGCTCCTGTCCTCCTCCATCAGTCCTTTCCCTGCCTTGGCTTCAGTCGACCTGCCTGCTCCTTTTGAAGCCATTCTATCTTTCATTCTGGATCTACACTATCACAGACGCGGTTTGAAACTGCATTATATGATCGTGAGAAATCTATATAATGCAGTTTAATGCAACTGCACTCTATGGGTCTCTTCTAACCATATATACTGCATTCTATACAGTTTGAGTCAAGGAATGGATCTACACGGCCATATAAAGCAGTTGCAGACTGCATTCTGCGGCAATGTAGATCCAGTCCCTGATTTTCCTCTGCGGTTTTCCTCTCTCAAAACCCCACACCTCGCCAGACGAAATCCCTGCCTGGAAAACGACAAGATCTTCCTCTTGCTGTTGTTGTTGCTTCTCCTCCTCCTCCTGCCTCTTCTTCCTCCTCCTGCTCTTTTTCCTTCTTCCTCTTCTTCCTCTTCTTCCCCCGCTCTTGTTTTCCTCAGAGTCCGCCTCCTGCCTCCGCGCGAGATGTGGGGAGGAAAAAAGATGCCCCTCGGCGAAGGTTAGGATTTGGTCCTGTTTGTTTCCCTCCGCTCTCCCTCCCACATCTCTTCCTTTCCTTCCTTCTCTCTATCTCTTTCTCTCTCTCTCTTTGGGACCCCAAACTTCCCTGGGGGTTTCAGGCACTGACTTCCTCGCTGGAGCAAAATGTGACTTCGCCATGAACTCGCCCCGTGCCCAGCTGGCTCCCAGGCTTGTGGTGGGGAGGGGAGGAGAGGGGGGGGGCGTTACACAGAGAGAGAGAGAGAGAGAGAAGGGGGAGAGAGAGAGAGAGGAGAGAGAGAGAGAGAAGGGGATCCTGACGAAAGCGGAACTGGCTGGGGCCCATACAAATCAGCAAGGAGCTCGTCCCGCCGCGCAGTGAGTGGATATCGGAGCTTGTTGCGGATCAGCAGGCTGCCTCGGGAAAGAGAGAGAGAGAAGAGAGAGAAAGGCGGGGGCGGGGGGCACAGAGAGAGAGAGAGAGGGTGTGTGAGAGAGAGATTGCGAGAGGGATAGAGGGGGAAAGCAAAAAGCCCACCAGGCTTGGAAAGCCAGAGCAGCGAGTGCAGCAGCCCGAGCAGATCTCCCAGCCAGGACCTGAAGGCAGGCAGGAAGGAAGGAAGGAAGGAAGGAAAGCAGGCAAGGGTGGGATCCGCCTCCAGAGCGACCTCAGATCCCGGGCAGCAGCAGCAGCAGGAGGAGCAGGAGCAGCAGGTGGGCGCTGCCATGCTGTCCCCCGGCTACTCGGAGCCGCCTCCGGAGGCCCTGCACCAGGCCAAGGAGCCCGGCGGCGGCGAGCAAGGGTTGCTGGCCAAAGGCGACCTGAGCCCGGCTCCTCCGCACAAGACGGCCTCCTCCTCCTCTTCCTCGTCCTCCTCGGCCTCGGCGACGGTGCCGGCCTCGGCCTCAGAGAAAGGCGACCCTTCGCAGAAGCCGCCCTACTCCTACGTGGCCCTGATCGCCATGGCCATCCGCGAGAGCGCCGAGAAGCGCCTGACGCTGTCGGGCATCTACCAATACATCATCGGCAAGTTCCCTTTCTACGAGAAGAACAAGAAGGGCTGGCAGAACAGCATCCGGCACAACCTGAGCCTCAACGAGTGCTTCATCAAGGTGCCTCGCGAGGGCGGCGGGGAGCGCAAGGGCAACTACTGGACGCTGGACCCGGCCTGCGAGGACATGTTCGAGAAGGGCAACTACCGGCGCCGGCGCCGCATGAAGCGCCCCTTCCGCCCGCCCGCCGGCCACTTCCAGCCCGGGAAGAGCCTCTTCGGACCCGAGGCCGCCGGGTACGGCTACCTGGCCGCGCCGCCCGCCAAGTACCTCCAGGCGCCTTTCCTCAACGCCGCCTCCTGGTCGCAGCCCCCGCCGCCGCCCCCGCCGCCCCCGCAACCTCAGGCGGCGGTGGCCACGGGCTCCTACGCGGCCTGCCAGATGGAGGCCGGCGGCAACGGGGGAAGCAGCCTCAGCCCCGTCAAGGGCGTGGGACTCTCCCCGCACGGCGGCAACGCCTACGGGGCCTACGCGCGGCTCCCGGCCATGGTGAACTCCTACAACGGCATGGGCGCCCACCACCACCACCCGCACGCCCACCACCCGCACCACCACCACCACCCGCACGCCCACCATCACCACCACCACCACCACCACGCCGCCGCCGCACAGCAGCTCGGCGCCGCCGCCGTGGCCGCAGCAGCCGCCGCCGCAGCCGCCGCAGCCTCCTCCGCCTCCTCGCCTTCCTCCTCCTCGGCGTCCTCCTCGGCGGCMGTGGTCGGCAGCCCCGCCTCGCCCCAAGCGGCGCCCAACGGGGCCTCCGCCGCCGCCGCCGCCGCTGCCGCCCTCCAGTTCGCCTGCGCCCGGCAGCCGCCCGAGCTGGCCATGATGCACTGCTCCTACTGGGAGCACGAGGGGAGCAAGCACGGCGCCCTCCACGCACGCATCGACCTCTGAGGACCCGCCGGGACCCCTGACAGATAGATAGACACACACGCCCTCCCCCCGGACCCCGCACCACCAAGGGAGAGAGAGAGGAGAGAAGCCAAAATCTGTCTCTCTTCAATGTATATATTGGGTTGCCTTGATTGTGTTCCCCCCCCCCCAATCAATGTATGACAGGGACTGTCAGTGCCAAAAACCAAAAAGAAGGGCCACAGATCCGTGCCTCTCCGGTCTGTGTCTCTCAACTGCAGCGACGAAGATCTCTGTTTCTCCAATGTAGAGCCCCACATCTCTGCCGTGCAGGGCCTAAGATCTCTGTCTCCCTACTAGAGAACCGAAGATCTCTGCAAGGAATGCAGAGCCTAAGATCTCTCAGTCTCAAATGTAGAGGCCAAGATCTGCGTCTCTCAACCGCAGCTGTTAAGATCTAGTTTGCTCCAGTGTAGAGCCCCAAATCCCAGTCACGCAGGACCTAAGATTTCTGTCTCTCCAGAAGAGAACCGAAGGTCTCTGCAGTGAAGAGCCCTCAGTCTCAAATGTAGAGCCCAGGATTTCTGTCATAGTCATGCAAGGCCCAAGATTTCTGTCATTCCTAGTGCAAGAGCTCTTCTCCAGGTATGATGGGAAAGCAGAAAACTCGCCTCCGCCGCTTCTCTCTTTCCTAAACTCTTGTGACTCTTTCTACCTCTTCCCACATAATATCTGTGAGGGAATCTGTGGGGGGAAAGCGAAGATGACTTCGGTTTTCCTTCCTTCTTCCCTTCCCTTCTTCCCTTCCCTTCTCTTCCATTCCCTTCCTTTCTCATCTTTTCTTCTTTCTTTCTTTCCTTCCTTCCCCTCCCTTTCTCTTCTTTCCTTGCTTCTTTTCTTCCTTCCTTCATTCCTTTCCCTTCCCTTCCTTTCTCTTCTTTCTTTCTTTCCTTGCTTCTTTCTTTCCTTTCCCTTCCTTCCGTCCTTCCTTTAAATTCCTTTCCCTTCCTCTCCCCTCCCTTCCCTTCTATTCTTTCCTTCTTTCCTTGCTTCTTTACTTACTTCCTTTCCCCTCCCTTCCCTTCTTTCCATCTTTCCTTGCTTCTTTCCTTTCCTTTCCTTCCTTCCTTCCTTCCTTTACCCTCCCCTTCTCTTCTATCCATATTTCTGTCTTTCCTTCCTTCCTTCCTTCCTTCCTTCCTTCCTTCCTTCCTTCCTTCCTTCCTTCCTTCCTTCCTTTACCCTCCCTTCCCTTCTCTTCTATCCATCTTTGTCTTTCCTTGCTTCTTTCCTTCCTTCCTTCGAGGCCCAGGGAAATCTTGAAAAGGCAGAAGGAAGCCCATTTCTTTGCAATCCCCGTTATTTTGCACCATCTCCTTTCCTTGCAAGCATTTTCCTTGGGGGTAGTTTGCTTAGAAGCGGGAATCTCATTCATCGGGGGAGAGAGAGCCCTTTACTTTGCTTTTTAGAAGGTGCAGGCCCGAAAAGAGAAAAGAAAAGAAAAAGAAGGGAAGGAGAAAGTCAAATCTTATCTAGGCAAAAAAGGGCTGCCTGGAAGAAATCTCTGACAAAATAGACCAAATGCCTAGAAGCGTTCTAAACCTAAATGGGAGCCAAATTTGAACTGAAGGCAAGCCCTAAATTTAGAAAGAGCCTTTTAGACTTACTTCTAAATAAGCTCCAAGTGTTAGGAAAGCGGGAATGGGGTCTAGCAAGGAGCCCAGTCCACGAGGCGGCCCTCCATCGGCATCCCGTTAATTCTCAATCGGTTTCAAATATCTCCCTTTGCATGGAGTCTATCATCATCTCCTAAATGTTAGTGAGTTATGACTGACGTTTTAATAGGTATCTGTCATCTCCAAAACACATCGGGTTTTGAACCGAAATTCTTTCCGAATAAGGGATTTCTAAATCAGAACTCTCTCGAAAATTGGGGTGCGTCTCCTTTAAGAAGCCAATTGGCATTCCATAGAGCAGGTACGGGCAAACTTGGGCCTTCCGGGTGTTTTGGACTTCAACTCCCACCATTCCTCACAGCCTCAGGCCCCTTCCTTTCCCCCCTCAGCCGCTTAAGCGGGGAAAGGAAAGGGCCTGAGGCTGTGAGGAATGGTGGGAGTTGAAGTCCAAAACACCTGGAGGAAGGCCCAAGCTTGCCCATATCTGCCATTAGTTCCTATTCTATGTGTAGCATTGAAATGGGATGGGGTCAGTTTACTTTGGAGGGAAAATTGACCATGTTTCATTGAAGGCGCCTTGCTTTCAAAGAATTTCTGCAATTTTTAATTCCTGAGAGAGAGAGAAAAATATTATAATATTATTTGGGGGTGTGATAATAGAGAATTCTAATTTTCCTGGAAAAAAAGAATTCAATAATAAGACTTTCTTATGAAAATTGCAAACACCTAGAGGCACGAGCCCTTTCCTGGCCTCTTTGGAGGCTGCTCCACTGTGATACCACAATGTTGTTGTTGTTGTTGTTGTTTTGGGTAGGGGAAATTGCACTTCTTTGTCCAAGCTTTCCCAAATAGTACTTATTGAGGGAAACCGGTTGTGTTTTTGGGACTGGATCTCCCTTTATTTTCCTAGTATTTCTGTCGGTTTTTTTAAACGAAGGACACTTGAGAACAATGGTGGGGAGAATGTGTGTATTTTTTTTGTTTCCAAAGAGAGAGAAGAATGACTTCTTCAAAGAGAGAGTAATTTTATACTTCGGACAAAAAAAAAACCAAGACTGTTTCTCGAAATTATGTTGAATATAGTAATAATAATGGAGGCTCTTTGGTTTCCGAATATATATTATTGTTATCTATTTTTTCAGTGGGTGTTAAGAGTGATTTTTTATATATAAATCTTTATTATCTAGATATATATATATATCTATTTTGACCCGAATGATCTTGACTGTAAGGGAATCTTGCCATTGCTTTTCCCCCCCTCCTCTGCTTCTTCCTCTGCTTTAAAGATTTGGAGCTGAATGAAAGAATGTGGGAAATGTGTTTGTACCTTTTGGAGGAAGGGGAAGGTCAAGCCATTTTCTGAATGATATTCTAATATTGTGCCATTTGGGGACCAACTTTTCTAGAATTAACCTAGCACTTTTTTATTGTATGCCGTAGTTTTGTATAGCCTCCAATAAAATGTTTTCTTTTCTCTTTTCACAGCGTCTGTTTTTATTTTCTTTCAGCCCAGGCATGACCGTTTATTTGTTTGTGTGTATGTTTGTAAAGCCTTCCCTTCTTCTGTTGTGACTTTGGCTGTGTTAAGGACTTGTAGAATTGTATTGTCGAAGGCTTTCATTGCTGGAATCACTGGGTTCTTGTCGTTTTTTCGGGCTATATGGCCATGTTCTAGAAGCATTCTCTCCTGACGTTTTGCCGGCATCTATGGCAGGCATTCTCACAACCTCTGAGGAAGCCTGCCATAGATGCAGGCGAAACGTCAGGAGAGAATGCTTCTAGAACATGGCCATATAGCCCGAAAAACCTACAACAACCCACTTATACAATTGCTGAGAGAGAGAAAAAATATATTATAATATTATTTGGAGGTATGATAGTAGAGAATTCCCATTTTCCTGGGGGGGGGGGGAGAGAGAATTCAATAATAAGACTTTCTTATGAAAATGCAAACAGCTAAAGGCACGAGCCCTTTCCTGGCCTCTTTGGAGGCTGCTCCACTGTGATACCACAATGTTGTTGTTGTTTTTGGGTAGGGGGAATTGCACTTCTTCTACAGAATTCTGGGGTTTGTAGTTTAGTGAGGCTGTTAAAGTCTCCTCCCTCAACTACAAAGTCCAGAAGTCTGCAGGAGGCAGCAACCGGATTTAAAGTGAATTAATTCTCTAGTGTGATGAGGTCCTTCGTATAGATTTGTTGTTATGTGTTTTGAGTCGAATTGGGTTCTCTGCCCCTGGTTAGATTCCCTCTTCATTCAATATTATGGCAAATATTTCAAAAAATGGACTGATAAGAATAGCAAGTCTTTAAAATAAACTAACTTCTAAGTTTTTACATTTCTTTTTTCCTTCTTTTTTTTTTTTAAATTGTCACCCGAAAATATTGTGGAAATAACGCTTCCCTTTTGACGGAAACTCTGTATTTGCGGATGGACTCTCTTAAGGCTGCCCAGGTGGACACCCGGCTTGGTCGTAAAATCCCCTTGTTTGGAATATGAATGGGACTTACTTCCAGGTAAGTTCTTCTCAATTCAGTGGCTTTTATTCCCAAGTCAAAGTGCTTAGGTTTGAGGTTCTTGTGTGTGTATTCCTTGTGGCATGCGGATTTCATAGAGTTTTCTGGGGGGCCTACCACACAGCTCTATATCCCAGAATATGAAGGCAGGAAATCCCACATTATCTGAGTGTGGACTCAGGTAATACAGTTCAAAGCAGATATTGTGGGATTTTCTGCCTTGATATTCGGGGATAGAGGGCTGCGTGGAAGGGTCCTGGGTTATCTGAGTCCACACTGCCATATATTCCACTCCAGAGCAGATATTGTGGGATTTTCTGCCTTGATATTCTGGGATAGTGGGTTGTTTGGAAGGGCCCTGGGTGCATCTACACTGTATAATTAATGCATTTTGACACTACTTTAACCGCCAGGGTTCAAAGTTATAGAATCAGGGAAGCTGTCGTTTGGGCAGAGAAGGATACAACTCCTAGGATGTCTTAGGCTTGAACCATGGCGGCTAAAGTAGAGTTGAACTTCATTTATTCTACAGGCAAGGATTATGCAGAGGTGGGTTATTGTGAGATTTTTTTGGGCTGCATGGCCATGTTCCAGAAGCATTCTCTCCTGACATTTCGCCTGCGTCCTCAGAGGTTGTGAGGTCTTCAAGAGGTGGCTTTGCCAGTTCTTTCTTCTGATATATAGCCTATAGCATCTGGCATCCATTGGCTGTCTGCCACCTTGGGCATGGGGAAACTTTGGTCCTCCAGGTGTTTTGGACTTCAACTCCCACAATTCCTAACGGCCTTAAGCTTAAGCGGCTTTGGGGGGGGGGGGAGGTGCCTGCGGCTGTTAGGAACTGTAGGAGTTGAAGTCCAAAACACCTGGAGGGAAGGCCGAAATTTGCTCAAGCCTGATCTACACTGTAGAAATAACTCAAGGCTATAGAATCCTAGGAGTTGTAGTTTTGCAAGGTCTCCAACCTTCTCTGCCACAGAGTTCTGGTGCCTCTGA